GGAGAATAGCCTCAACGCGAATTCGTGATCTATAGTTTTCAAATCTAAGGGTAAATGGTCTTTCGAAAAAATCGTCCAAAATCTATTATTGTACCCTTTGGAATCTGCCAAAAATGGACTTGAAAAATTCGCTCATATATGTGCTTAATAGACTTAATCATCAGTAAAGATAACATCAAACTAAATACATTTTCTATAACTCTCAAAATCAAAGGAAACTAGTCTTTTGAAAAAAAAATACAAAAAATAACGAGAGTACCTTCCTAAAAAATCTATGATAGTTGTTTGCCATTTCTGTGGTGTTGTTGTCACTTTATACTCCACTAGCATCGGGCCCGGCCCGTTGGCCGGTGGAGTTCAAAGATGGTTATGAGAGTCTTGCGAAGGAAAATTGAAATTCAAACCGAAATGATTTGTAATAGAATGAGCGCAAATCATTATATAAGACCATAACCAAATATGATCCTGAAACCAATTTGACTCGGCAAGAACAGACATTTTATCATATTCTAGGAAACAATTTCAAATCCACCTTCATATTTGCCTTCAACAGTTCAACTCCTTAAATCTCGATTAAATTTAAGTTATGACTTTGATTAGTTGATGCAGTATTGAAGCTCCAACTGCCAATGCAATTCCGCGAGACACATTGGTGATGCAAAGTACTCATTAACCCATTAGCCGAGGGAGATTTAAGAAAGACAAATAAGATCAATAAGTTGTTGTTGGGGTTGAATAATTTAGAACTAACACCAAATATTTAGCAAAAAGCACACAAATGGATATGCTACTTAAATCCAATTAAATTAATTCTCTAATAGTGGTAAGGTCAAACCTTATAGTGGCTAACAACAGTTTAGTCATTTATGATCACGGATAGATACACATGTATCTATAAATAATTAAAAACAGAACCAAAGCATAACTAATTTACTTCTAAAGATACCGCAGCGGATTGAATCAACATAATGACCAAAGATCACTATAGAAAGTATATTGCAGCAGCCTAGGCCTAGCTAATTGCTCATGGCCTGATGGAAATAAACAAAAACCCACATTTAATGGTAGTAAATATTAAAAAAACCAATTGAAAGTGGAAGACAGGAGTTGCAAAGAAATTTGGGGATTAACATGATCTGAATCCGCACAGTTATAATGAATTCCTTGCTGAAGCTATGGCGTTGCAATTTCCCTTGTGCGGCAGCTCTCAAGGGGGATTAACAACTTTTTATTTGACATATGAAATGTTAGTTAACATGCCTGTTAACATTAACGATTATCCACACTTTGAATACCTATTCATATCTTTACATTCGAAATTGGGTTAACATGAACAAATCAGCCCGTGAAATTGTAGAAAAAGAAAACGAAACATCCAATACATATAAGTTTTAAAAGCCACATTTAAGTAAACATACCAAGCCCACAAAACTCACACGGAAAACAGGTCAACTGTTTTGAGTATAATGTTTTGAGGAATACAACACCATTCTTCTTATAAACCATTCTGCTCAAAATCATCAATCTATTCATGATCTGTAAGTTTCCAGAACCAAACACCGTCTACATCCTTCAACTCAACAACACCTTCATGTTGTCTATCAAAATTGTAAGCACGTAGAACAACCCTAGTTGCAGCTCCTTTATGTCAACAGTGTATAGTAGTATGTTGGTAGCTGGTGGCAAGAAATTAAAAAAAAAAAGCTAATTTGACCACAACAGCTAGTATCAGGCAATTGAAAGATGAATATAGGCTTTGAAAAGAAAATTTCCAATGGTAAGAAAGAATTACATATCTTACAAAACATTCTACTGAAAGCAAGAATCTACTCGTGATCTCTAGGATTATAAGCTAAAAATCATTAACCATTATATGCCTCACCATCATGATTATCTCCTCAAATAGACAACAGGATAGTTGCTTATTATGAAAAGAAATCATTCTGCAGCAAACTTGAACTTCTTTTTTTTTCGTAGAACAGCAAACTTGAAGTTTTAATTGCATTATTAATTATGATAAACATATAATATATACCTTAGCCTGCATAACTTTGTTGCTTTCTTACTTATATTGCTTTCTTCGAAGTGTCTGTATGAGGAGGTTTCCATTCTATCCTCATGTGGTAGGCAATTCATGTAGCTAGATTCTATGATTTTGTAGCAGTATGACTGTATGAGCTATCGCTTGCACCCTTGTCTCCCTCACAATCTTTTCTTTTCTTTGTTTCCTTTACTGGTGGTTTCACTCCTTGTGACCTCGGCTCATGGTAAAAAAAAATTGTGTCCTTTTCTGCTTCCATTGAGTTGCTTCTGTAGAACAAAACTGGCAATGCATAATGGTTACCGATTGGATTGAATGCCCATTGGAAAAGGGAAAATAAATGGAAGAAAAGGAGCACAAAAATCCCATTAACAATTTTCGAGAAGCCAAAATACACACAAACCAAACTGAGGGAACTTACAGGAACATGAAATATTGCTCCAATTAGGCGCTATGAGAGGTTTCTAGACTCTGAACAGAGAGACAAACAGCGAAAGCGAGAGAGGCGGTTTACCCGGGATGGCTATGAAATACTTCGCCGTTGGAAAGAGAGTACGGAGCTGGACGGACGGGACTTTGATTCCGTAGAGACAAACAGCGAGAGCGAGAGAGGCGGGTTACCCACGACATCTTGGGATTACTTAGCCGCTGGAGAGAGAGTACAAAGCGGGACGGATGGCAAGAGCGACGAATCGACATCAGGTGGGAAACACACAGGCGACGACAAAGCAGATCGACAACAAAACACCGCGGACAGAGCAGGAAATACAGAGATGATCGGACTTCGATTAAGTAAGAGGTCTTCGATTATTATGCTGGACAGGGAGTGAGGATTTTGATTTCTGGTGGGGCTTGAATACAGAAGGGGTTGAGACGGCAAGAGAGAGGGGTCGATCTTCGGTGAGAATTGGAAGACAGAACGCGTGAAAGAGAAGGATCAGGAAAATTACGGGAAAGGGCCTCCGACTTGTGCGGCGGTTTCAGTAGTGGCTTACGTGGCAAAAGCTGTATTGTGACATTGGCTTATAGTAATTTGTAGATTCACTATAATCAACATTCAACTTATTTTGTACAGGCGGCATGCAAGCTAAAAGTTCTAGATCTATCTTATGTAGTTCATCGCACAGAAAAACAAACAACTGAAGTATTTATTTTCTTGTTGAGTACCCAATATAATGAGTCTAATTTGAACCCAAATAATTTTTTTTTCGAGTATATCTCTACCCTAAAAATGATATTTACCATAATCGGATTTAACAAATTGAATTTGTCAATACTCATAGTTTGAATTCTCTTCTCATCGACACAATATATAATACGACCATATATGACTTCACTAAACTTCTAACGAATGCCGACAAAAATACCATATGAATGACGACGAGAGTCAAAAGAGAATCTGTACCATAATTAACTGATTCGTAAACCAAATTTCTTACACTTAAATCTCACAATTTAAAGCTTGTTTAAACGTAGAAATGCCACGATTCTCTGTATCTTAATGATCATTCTATCCTTATTTTTACTTTTGATCTCCAACGTCTAAGAGTATCTCTGTATCTTAAATAATCATTCGATCTCTTTAATTGATTTCTCTGCCTATAAATTCTTGTCTCCACACATCTTTTTCCTCTAACATTTTCTTCCACGAAAAAAGGCTCAGACACTAAAACCCTAAACCCACTTAAGAAAAAAAATTATGGCCTCAGGAAACTCTCAGCTGATCAGAGCTATGGCCGTGCTTGTATTGGCCACCACTTTCCTCGCCATGGCTCCTTCGTTCTGCGTCGGTTCAGGTAAAACTACGTTATGTGAATATTATCAATCGCGTTTCGTATTAAACCTCGTAAAAAAAAAAGAGGTGATGTTTATAATCTTTGGGCCGTGTGTGGAAATATTGTAGGTGGCCGGCTGTTGGAGAGCGACGATGGTGGTTCATCGCCTCCCAATTGTGACGGCAAGTGCAACGGTTGCACGCCGTGTGTTGCGGTTCCTTCCGTTCACGGCGGCCCTCCTCACAGCGGCGGCCCTCCTCCGCCCCCGCCGGCCGCCGCCACCGGGTATAACCCTCGTGAAGCAACGCCGTACAAACCGATCATCTGGGTGTGCAAATGTCAGCCTAAAGTTATTGCTTAATCAAGAGAGGTCATTAGGGCGTTTTTCTTCTTCTTAAGTTTTGATTAAACTTAGAGTTTATCTTATTTACCGTCTTATTGGTTGTTAAATAGTACAATTTTGTTTCAATTATGGGTAAAACAAATCGGGTTCGATTGCATCTTGTGTGTTTATTTTTTCATCACCGAAGAAAGTTCTATCCATCGAAAAATATTTCAAGTCATCGCGTTGATACCACGAGCCTTCGACCTATTTTTACGTGCTATATACCTTCATTTGCTCACTCATAAATTTGCGACTTAATATAATCGAACAATGCCCAAACGATTAACCTACTAATGATATACGTTCAAAATTCGAGGCCAACAATCATTTGGCGCGTCGATGAAGCTTAATTACGCAAATTTGGTACGGAGCACATTAATTAACCGATAAGCGTTGATATCAAACATAAACTTCTGCCAATTTTTAGCTACATTAAGGCGCCAGCCTCTTTACACAAGCAATCCCCCAATTGGGCAAAATCTAAATCCCTAATTAACGAACCTCTATACTAAGAGTTAACCCTACACAGAAAAAATCTGCCAATTTCTAGCTAAGAACCCTAATTAACACGCCACCAACTTACGCAAAGCTTTCCCCTAATCACCCCAAAGTTCCAGATAATGGGTGAAGCTGATCAAAACTAGAAAGTAATGATTGTAAGTGTCTAATTTCCAATTAGGAAGTCTTAATTAATGAGATTTTAGAGGGATCTCTCTAAAGTCTAAACGCGAATCTCAGTATTAGCCCTCTCTATTTATACTCCAAAACTGTTCACAACTTGTTGCACACTAACACACAAGTAAAAGTCTTCTAGTTACTACCAGAAGAAGTATGAGAGTTATCATGGTGGCTGTGTTGGTGTTGGCGATTTCTTTGCTCGTGCTTATGTCTCCCTCCTCCTCTTTTGCCGATACAGGTAATTAACGGTTCGAACTCAGAGTGTGGTGTATAGATAACTGCATGTTACATATGCACGAGACGTTTGTGTTACTTATTTTCTTGAGATATGGAATAATGCAGAAGGAGGAGGACGGCGATTAGGGTATCCTACGAGAGTGAGCACCACTCCAGGTAAAAAATTTTATGATTCGGACCTAAAGTGTGATGGATGTTATTATATGACGTTTGTTGGGAAATGCATAGATGCAGGATCGGGGTACGAGGCGAAAGTGGGTTCAAACATTTTGTACTGTGAGCATCAGTGCCACGGCTGTACTCCTTGTGTCCCGGTGGTCGTCGTCCCCGGTCCACCGTCGTCGAACGTGGCCGCCGGCAGTGGGAATAATGAAGAAGGCTATACGCAGTACGAGCCAGTGGTGTGGAAGTGCGAATGTAGACCGACGGATGATGGCGGGATGGCTTGATTTGGAGTACCGGTCTCTAGCTGGCGACTCTAGCTAACCAATATGTTGTTATCTTTTGATGTTTACCTTTCGGAAATAACACGAATTTGGCTTCTACTATTGAAGTTCTTAAGTGTTTCGTGGGATTATGTTATCGTTTCAATGGAAGACTCATCTCTTGTGAAGATTGCCAATGCAATAACGATAAACTTTTCGGATTACGAAATTAGTCAAATTAAAGTTTAATCGATTTGGTTAACTGTGTTGATCAATATAACATAAACATTACCATTAAGAGGGAATTTTTTCCCCCTTAATGCATCGGTCTTTAATACATATAAGGAATAAAACATAAGAATTAACAAATGGTTAATTAACCTTAACATTACATGGACCTAATATAATTATCTTTCGATAATTAGAAATAGCCACCTAACAAAATTATATATCAATGATGTGGGGTGATAAATTGGGTGTGCCTTTGTGAATTATTTTAGTCTCTAAGCAATTATCATATGCTAAAAATCTCTTTCTTTCAGGTTTTCATCCAATATAATGCATGATCTTAATCTAAATTAGTTGCTAAAATATTTTTGTTCACATTTTACAAGAAAATTATATACTATATGAACAGTTATGAGCTTTATCTTTTATGTATGGAATATGTATGAACTTTTAACTATTGAGTGGTTATGCAAAGTTTTAAGTATGTTTTATATAATAGATTAGATACACGACTAATTTTCTAACTAGTTAATTAGCTAGTTTGATTGGTTATTGGTGTTTGAAACCAAACCAAACCCTCTAACCAAAGAAGTTAAAAAATTTAACCAAACCAAATCGATTATTCAAATTAATCAAATTAAATTATCCGAGTACTATCGATTAAAATGGTTACCACAGTAACTAAGAATGAAAATAAAAGATATAAAGATTATAGAAAGAGTTAGAACTAGCAAATTGACTACAACAAACAACACTTTGGTGACGGTAAACTCGTTGCTAAAATGTTCTTATAAAACACCTTATCTGGTCCCTCGACTCAAGCCCAAAATTAACTAAATCGTTTCCGGGCCTGATTGGTGGAGCATTGGGTCTGGGCTAATTGAAACTTTGTACTGTACAATCTACAAAACCCAAATCCAAGCTCAATAGGGTTGAATAAAAAACCTCTCTGTTCTTATTCTTTAGTTTTCTCCAGGGACCAGTTATTGTAACAACACCCATTGTGTTGTTATTGTAACAACACTAGTCCCCAACCAATAGGAAGCTAGGATTGTGATGACTTTTTATTAAATGAGTTGACCTAGTGTAAAATCAAAGCAGGGGTATAATTGTCATTATGAAAAATTTATTTAAATAAAAAAATAATAAAAAAATATTTTTTATTTTATGTCCAAAAATTTGGTCGTCGGAATTCTGCCACCGGTCGCCGGAAAATGGTCGCCGGTCACCGGAATATGCTTTTTGTCGCCGGAATATGCTATTTTGTGGCCGGAATATGCTTACCGGAGTCGGAATATGCTTATCGGCGTCGCAATATGCTTACCGGCGTCGGAATCTAGTCACCGGGGCCGGAATATGCCTATCGGCGTCGGAATCTGCTCACTGACGGTCACCGGAGTTCGGTCAACGGTCTTCGTTGACCGGTCAAAGGTCTTCGTTGACCGGTCAACGGTCAACGACCACCGGATGTTATGGTCTGCATTGTGAGATTTATGGTTTGGTTTCTCATATTTTTTTATGCCTTTTATGGTTTGTTTTATTGTGTTTGTGGTTTGCATTGAGAAGCTTCTGGTTTGTTTTCAAAAACTTTGTGGTTTGCATTGTGAGGTTTCTGGTTTGTTTTAATATATTTGTGGTTTGCATTAGGACGTTTATGGTTTGCTTTTTTGTGGTTTGATTTACTATGTTTGTGGTTTGCATTAGGAGGTTTTTGGTGTGCTTTCGCAAATGTTGTGGTTTGCTTTGTGAGGTTTGTGGTTTGTTTTAGGAGATTTGAGGTATGCATTAGGAGGTTTCTGGTTTGCATTAAGAAGTTTCTGGTGTGCTTTCGAAACTTTTGTGGTTTGGTTTGCGAGGTTTCTTGTTTGTTTTATTGTGTTTCTGGGTTGCATCAAGAAGTTTATGGTGTGCTTTCGAAAATTTTATGGTTTGATTTGTGGGGTTTCTGGTTTGTTTTAATGGATTTGTGGTATGCACTAGGAGATTTATGGTTTGCTTTATGGTCTCACAATAGAGTAGAGATCATGAATCAATCTCACACACATGAAGATGGTTAGCTAGCACTGCACGGCCGAAACATAAATATATATGTATAAATATTGTTTGCGTCAATTATGGAGTGGCTACTTGGCATGATATCAAATCAAATCACATAAGCAAGCTCCTGATAATGGCGGCCTCAGGACTGTCGGAGTCGATGGTGGAGAGCAGCTCCGACAGCCGGTCGCTCAAATCCTCCACTTCTCTTCTTTTCCTTTCTTTTTCTTTACTTTCAGTTTTCTGTTATCATAATAAAACTTAAGATTACGAATTGCATGCAACGATCTCGATCTGCTTCCTCATCTTGCACCTGCAAATTAAAATAAGGCACCACAACATACTAATAATAGAAAAGTAATCAGTGATACGCAAATAATAGAACAGACCATATGGAATGCCTACCATAGTTAATCACATAAGTTAAAGCATTGTTTAGAAGAGATTACATGCCAAATGTTTCAGATAAGTCTTGGAAAAGAAAATGACAGAAACTGGAAAGATAAGAGGGATAGATTGAGAAGAAAGCTCTGTTCTGTGGGGCCTAGCTAGCTCTTCTCCTTTGGACTGGACTAGACAGAAACCCTAATGCATCTGATCAAATCTGAGCGGCGGCGGCGGCAAGGGCGGCGCCGAGGAGAAGCTGCAGGCGCTGGTGGGCGTGGCGATGGCGTGCGTCTCGATTTGTCCGGAGGATCGGCCGTCTCGAGGTAGAGGATGGCGAAACACAGCGGCGGAAGAGCGGGGGACGGAGGAAGACGCGTTTATAAATGATTTGATTTTTATTTTATTATTTAATTGTAATTTTACTATGTTGCCCTTGTTGTTACGGTAACAACAAATAGGTTGTTGTTATAGTATCTCTTGCCTTTTCTCCACCTGTCCAGCAGCCGTTCCCAAACTATGGAGAAACGTCGCCGCCTGGAAACCGATCGCTGTGAAGAATCTAACCAAATCCCGACCGCAGCAGCCGGCGCCGGCGAAGAAGATGCAGATCGGATATCGCAGTTACCCGAAGAGATCATCCACAAGATTCTCGCTCTCGTAAAACCCTCAAAAGAAGCAGCAAAAACCAGTGTCCTACCCCAAAGATGGGCCGAACTCAGGCGATCTTACCCAGTCCTGGAATTCCACGATACCCAGTTCCTGTTAGCGAACTAACCACTTGGCCCCAATAACTCGAGTTGTTGGGAAAGGGATAGTTAAGCCTTTTAACCTCTTATACGCCCCCTCAAACGAAAGCCGATGCCGAATTGTGGATTTTTACGGTTTGCAAAGGTTTAACCCTTGTGCTGCCAAACCACGAGGCTTTAGTTTGCACAGGTTGGACATACCATTCCTTGTGCTAAACGAATTGGCATGAAATGGGGGTCGTTATGAGGATTCGAAACCATGACCTTTCGGTTCGTTATCAGGATTGAATTTGTCTCGTTTGGGGTCGACCCAAAATCCTGCTCTGTTTTCCTCGACAACATGTTGGAGTTGGCTGCAAAGAGATCTCCCCCACCTCAAGAGATCGACATTGCAGCCCACTTCTATGGTTCGATGACATACACCATCCCACGGAGCTTATTCCTATCCAGATCCAATTTCGTCCATAAATTTCGCCTCAAAGTTCTCAGATTGGTCAGTTGCAATTTCAATCAGTTCAAGGGTGTCAATTTCGATCGTAACCACTTCGTGGACATTGGTAGCTCCCTCAGGCGGCTCTATCTCAACTGCGTCAACTTCCTCGACGACGACGGCAGCCGGATTCTGAATAGTATGATCGCGGGAGCCTCTCTCTTAGAGAAATTGACTATGACGTCGATTTCGGGGATTCAGAGGCTTTCAGGTTCGGAATCTTCCCAACATGAACTACCTGTGGTTTGAAGGCCCTGTTCAGGATCTGGAGATTACAGGGTTCCCTTCTCTGGAAACATTGTACATTTATGGTGCGTCTTTTGGAGGTGATTTTGTGGTGTCTTTGATGCCAAAGCTGAAATACCTAGGAGTAAGTGGCTGCTACGGTAAGAAAATTCAGAGCCTTTTTCTCTACAAATTATACTCACACTAGTTTCATCTTTATTTTGTTAACAAAATCCTATTTTGTGTTCCTAGTTTCACAAGCTTGCAAATTGACGGAGTGTGAGCTTGGTGAGTTGATATCAAAGGTTCCGTCTCTAGAGTGGCTTACACTCCGACGTCTAGCCGATGTACATGAACTGAAGATCGTCAATAACGATAAGCTTTCGACTGTCGATCTGTTTGTTTGGAATGAGCTGCGGGTGATTGAAATGAATGCTCCAAGATTAACTCGTTTCAAATATTAGGGAAGGATTGATCTTTTTCTGAAAGTACTAGATAATGTCGGTACCCACTACAAAGAAGTTGGCCGATCTCTTGATGTAGAATATTCTGATGCCGATGCTGACGGAAATGATTTCCACACATTGAAAAAATTTCTTGCACGACAAAAACGGACTTGGCTACACATGACTCTTAAATTCAATTTTCTACTAGATTCTGAGGTATGTGAACTTATCTTTTGTCTTAATTCCACTTTGGTACTACATTATGCTTTCTATTGTTGGAATATGTTTCACTTCATATCACCTTATTGTACAAAAACAAGCCTGTTAAATTTTTTCATGACACTAACAATAGATTTTGTATTTAATGTATGATTGTTGGTGTATTATATTCAGTTTCACTAGAAAGAACCTTGCAAAGAGCTGCATACTCCAACAATAGAACATGTGGAAATCTCGTGCAAGTTCTCAAGATTGCTTGACAAGAATGCTTTTCTTGACAACTTGTTCCAAAATTTTCATCCTAACTACTTAAGTTTCACTCGAGAACTATTTAAATCTTCAATGGCGGACAACTTACACAATCCTACGGTATGGTCTTTTAATGGTTTATCAAAATCCATTTCAACTATATTTTTTCCCTTAGCCCAACCTCAA